CGATATCAAACCCAGAAAAAAGTATTTATTGCGCCCATTACACGGGGCGCCCTCCCCCCCCCCCCTCTCCCCCCCCCCCCCCCCCAAACCTCCTCCATTATCCTCCCGCAGACTTTGAAATCAACTCCGACTTTCACAACCTCAACTGAAAACGTCCTCCTGTTTCTCCTCTCGTTCTCATTTCATCTGAACACCTTCCATCCCCCCTCACGATCTGAGTATCTTTGACACTTGAAGTCTCACTTGCCTTCACAGTCATGACTGAAATCAATGGGTTGAATCTTAGCTTGAACAGGCCCTCTTTGATGTACACAAGCAAGATGTTAGAGAGGGATCTTGCCACCGCACTATCTATCTTAGACACTGAGATCACGTTGACAAAGCCTGCTTTGGCCCCAGATGACCCAACTTTATTGTTCTTGTTCGACACGATGGAGGGTTTTAACAGTGATTTCATTCTTCCTCTCCCCATCCTCCTTGAACCATTGAAAAGAGGAATCAAAGCTGACAATCAGTGGTAAAAGATCGTAAGCCAGTTGCACCATCAGAACGTCGCTTTTTGGAGGCTGCAGAGGGCTACTGTGAATTTGCTAGGAACCCCAACACTTATGTCACAAATGACAGACATTCTTCCAAAACTCCAGTGCAAGTGGAACCAACGTCTGATTCAGTGGGAGGGGGACAAGACCCCGATTTGCCGTTAAGAAGTGATACTGGACAAGATGACCTACTTTCTCAAGATAGGCAATCTTGTTTAGAGAGACTTGTGCAATATTTTTCTCACCAAATCAGTCAATTGATTGACGAAGACGCAATCAAAGTTGTATGTCAATATATGTTAAACCACTCTGAGGGTGATACACTCTGCCAACTTTCAATGGAGGCTTGCAGGGTACTTTCGGGTCAGTCATGATCTCTCCTGTGGTTTGATGTTTTGGCTGATCAAAGAGAGAGTGGCCCTGCCTTGATCAGTAGAACTTACGGCTCAATCCTGGGGGAACACAAAGTCATTTTGGCAGAGGTTAAAGCTGTATTGGAAGATCAGTGCCTCATCATACAAGGACAAACGCAATCTCTTCCGGAGGATAGTGACGATGTATACTATTCGGCCGTTGACGATGGTGAGAAAATGGGTATTGAAGATGATCCTCATGTTCACTGCTCAATACAACGTGTAGTATCATTGCTATCTACTTTTGTAGCTTGGTCAGCTAGGACGGATTCCCGGACAGGTTCCCGCGCATCAAGCTGTCCAGACAAGACTGGAGGGTTGAGTAGACTTCCAACCGTGCAAGAGGAGGAAGTTGAGGAGTATGTACCAGTGATGTCTTCCGTGAGTACGTGACATGAGAAGATTGTTACAGGACTGAGCCCCATAGAAGAAGGATGCATGATGTTTGTGAGATACGCTTCATGTTCAATTTGGGCAGAAACATCTTGTTTCATTATGCTAGAGCTTGTCCTCAAGAAGGTGATACCTTGTTCCGGTCCCGATGATGACGCACACGGTCCAGAACAGAGATACGGAGGGGTTTTGAAGGCGTGTGGAGCAAGTTGATGACGTTGAAACGGTACGATGACGTTGAAACGGAACGCTGACGTCACAGAAATCCTTTCAATCGGGACTTGATATCAAGAATATAGCATTAAACCCAAAATGTATAAGATCTGAACCTGAAGCTATACATCCCCATCTTTCTTTCAAACTGCTACCTAATCATGTCACTTGAAAGCACTTTTCTATCTGACGGTCAGAAGACGCCAACCAACCATCATACACGTGATGATAACCTTGCAACTATAAACAGTCTCATGAACATGATAAATCAGGAACTACAACACAACACCATGACCTCTGAAACTTTGAACCAATGCAGAACAGTGGAAAAGGGATTGATAGGTGAGTTGGCTTGTTGAAATTGACTCATATACAAGTGAAGTAAGCACAATTGTACTCTATCTGTGATCCAAGTATCTCGCACACTGATTCTGTTTCTGCACTGACACACACTAGAGTTTTCCACCTGGGCAGGTCCACAAAAGGAGGATTTCACCCGTTCACCTGATTTTAAACTAGACTCGGTAGCCATGGCAAGTGATTACCTTTTTTACTGGAATAATAGAGGCGAACAATCAGCCTTATCACTACCCCACAACACCCCAGAGACCACCAATCAGTCAATAATCATGTTTGCCCAAGGCAATGTTGCAACTAGAGAACGAGTCAATGCCTTGGTTGAATGGATGAATGATTTTGTATCTACTGCCCTTGAGGTATCAATCATAGAAGTGATATCTCTGTTGCAACTTGACCATATAAGAGCCCCTGCAATGGGACTGACTGCTTTGATGGGTGAGTGCATTTTCAGATCTAGTCCAGACTAATGAAAGAATGCAGCAAGCAACTGGCCAGAAGACAGTACTATACCATACGTGAAGATTCTATTGCGGAGCTTCAGAGCCTTGTTGTGCCCCTATCCCATTACATTGGTTTGACAACTCAAGACTCCCCGACCTACAATCCAGAAGGAGCCACACTCCATCCCAAGAGGGTGAAGAGAGTCTTGGAGGCTGTGGTTGAGGAGTTTCGAAACGCACAAGACCGACGCAAATGGCAGTACTGAACAACAATGCAGTCAATGCACTGACCACACCCATAGCCGGGTACACCGAAGTGTGAGAGCGGAATCATAAGAGATGCATGAGATGATGATGACACTCATGAGATATTCATACTTATCATAGTCTGGTCTCTATCCCTTGTTCTCCCTATCACTGTCATAGTTGTTACCATCTCGCTTAGTATGGGCAGCGTCGTCCTCGTCTCCCTCACCTACTACCCAAATCTCCTGTCCCTCTACTTTCTCCATTGCTGATATCATCCCCGTCCTCTCATCTTTGTCCTCCTCCTCCCTCCCCTCATCTGTCTCCTCCTTCTCCCATTCATCTCTCTAATTAGATTCTTCCTCCACAGCGCCTTCGTCCTCTTCTTCATCATCCTTATCCCCTTCCTCTACCGGTCCTTTATCCCAAGGCTCCTCTTCACTGTCTAGATCCCCGGACCCACTTCCCTCTTCATCCGTCTGATCCTCTTCATTGCTGTCATCGCTCTCAATCATAGCCCTACTCCTTCTCCCTCCGCCTTTTCCCGATGTGCACT